ATTCCTGCTTTCTCCTCCAACCCTAACTCTACATTTGCTGTGACACCGTAGAGGGCACCACACAGCAGCTGGCCTGAGCCTTAGACTGAGTCCACCTGCCTGGGGATGGGAATTCCAGATCAGGGGAAACCATAAGCAGGGACAGACCTTGGAAAAATTGTAAAGCAGCTCTTGACTGTGCTCAGCCACTGTGACAAAATACACACACAGACACACAGACACACACACACACACACACACACACACACACACACACACACACTCTCTCATGCCTTCAAGGCATTCCCTGCAGCCCCACCCCTGGTGCCAAACCCTTCTTACCTCATAGTGAGCCTAACTTTCTGGGCAGGGCTTTCCCCATTCATTCAGGCAACAAACATTTATTGAGGAACTTCAGTGTTCCAGATGGTGCAAAGGTCGACTAATAGGCGTGTGCGTCAGGCTGCTTCCCCTTCCCCTCAAAAATGGAAATCATTTGATCCCTGAAAATTCCCCCCCAAAGCATGGAAATAGTTACTATGGAAAAAATCCAAGTTGGGCTAGCATTCCTTAGAGTTCTTTTACAGGTTAACATTTTTAACAATTAGGAATCACCTCGTGTTTTTCTCAGTGTTTAGAGCATCTAAAGCTCTTAACTAGGTGCTTCAGTAGAAAACGGGCACAGTCCTGGTTCCAGAGCTCAAGGAGCTGGGTCTGGGGGTGGAGCGGACAGGTGGGGACAGTGGCAGTCACAGTGGGACTAGAGCCGCTGCAGGGCAGACAGTGGGGGTGGGAGCACAGCGGAGGCACCTAACCCAGCCTGGGTGGGCTTAGGGGTCCCCTCTGGCAACCTATTCATGTTACCAAGGCAGAGGTAGGAACTTGCATTCTAGGGAATGGTATCTGCCCATGATGTGCTGCAAGAGAGAGTTTGGGGAATTAGGGAAAGCGCCTCAGAAAAGGTTTCTGATAGAATGTTTGAGAGCGAGATTGGGGGTGTTCTTGTGAAATAGGAGGGGCTGGTCCTTGTGTGCCTGTGGATTTTATCCTGAGGGCTCAGCGAGCCACTGAAGTGATCAGACTTGAGTTTTAGAAACCCCTCTCCCTGTTTCGTGGGGCCCCCAACCTCTCCCCCTAGGTCCTCTCTAGGTTCTCACACCTTTGTCAAGTTCTGGTACATTCTCTCCCGTTTCCCACCCTCACTGTCCTCAGGAGAGGGTCTGCTCTCCCTCACTGTGAGCCACTGCTCCCTCAAGGCGGGGCAAGCTTCAGTGCATCCTGCCCTCTCCCTCGAAGGGCCATGGTGTCTGAAACAGTAGAAAGCTGGTTTGGGGGACTGGCAAATGGCGGGGTGGGGGTGGGTCTGGCTTCTGAAGGATTGTATAATCCGCTTCCTACCTTGCTGGAAGGGAGCAGGTCTTGGGCATGGGCTGGGGATAGGCACTGGATGTGGGAGCCCTGGGAGAGGACAGGAGGGGCATGAGCTGGTGGCTTGGGAGACCGTGATCACCATCCCATTCTCTCCGCAGATCCCAAAATGGCGATGAAACCGGCACCTGGCCCAACAACCAGTTTGACACAGAGATGCTGCAAGCCATGATCTTGGCCTCCGCCAGTGGTAAGTTGTGCCAGCCTGTGTGGGGTGGGAGACCTGGGGTTCTGGGGTGCATCCCACAGCACCGTGCCCTGAGACTGGCTTTCCACCTATGTGGTTCCTCTGGACCTTTCAGCCTATCTGAGGCAGCCCATAATTCCAGGATATAAAGCCGGGTTAGGGAATAGCTGAGGGATCGGCGGGGGG